ATTAATTATAATATTTTTATAAAAATTAATACAAAATTCTTTTATTTTTGCATCTGATATCATTATAGATCCATTAGCTCAAGGTTAAAGTGAATAATAATTTAACACTCACTAGTACGATGTGCAACGGTGGAGTTGTCTTACATAACATGGACTTAAAATGGCAAATTATATTTTTATTGATTACAGAAATAAACGAGCAATTAATTTTATTAGGAACAAATAATGAATTAAGTAAGTTGAAAGTTGCTTACTCTACAATTGCTCCATAGTTGTACGATGCCTTCTTGGGCTTCTACTACTTCTCTTGTTCGTTCTTTGCTGTTTCTTTGTCACTTACACTCGCGAAAAAAAACCATTAATTACCTTCGTGCTTGCATTAATTATATAAAATAGAACAATCGTGTAGCACTTTGCACGGCACTTGCGACATTAATTGCACGCGACGCGCGCTTTATTAAATTGCGATGGGAAAAAAACGCGAAAACTTTGCTCGCGCAAAAGTACGATTTGCTTGGCACTCGAATATTACGCTAAATTCGCACGTCACTCACTGATAAATAGTATATGTGCTCGTTTCAAGATGATTACTGTCTTGTATTAAACATGAATATAAATAAACGAGTTAAAATTAAAGATAAATATCTGTGGATGCAATATCCGAAAATATATTGCTGACTATTTGCGTGGTAAATCTCGTGAAATACGCGTTTTAATGAAAATCATCGTTATATAACCGCCAAATTTTTACTACGTTGTGTTAAAAAATATTACAATATATACGGTTAAATATGATTCTGTTTACTACTTGGCACTCGAATATTACGCTAAATTCGCACGTCACTCACTGATAAATAGTATATGTGCTCGTTTAAAGATGATTACTGTCTTGTATTATAACATGAATATAAATAAACGAGTTAAAATTAAAGATAAATATCTGTGGATGCAATATCCGAAAATATATTGCTGACTATTTGCGTGGTAAATCTCGTGAAATACGCGTTTTAATGAAAATCATCGTTATATAACCGCCAAATTTTTACTACGTTGTGTTAAAAAATATTACAATATATACGGTTAAATATGATTCTGTTTACTAATCAAATGCGTCGCTCGACTTGGAATCGATTCATAGGAATGTATCCGCAATGTTTTGGCCGATTAAAGACCGAGAAATTCAATGATATCATCGGTAATTTTGCTCTGATATATCGTGCGATATGATATCTACGTGAATCGAATTAATGGCTAGTTAAGACGCAATAATTGCAAAAATTAATTAATCACGCAGGTTGAAAATCGCTAATTGTAATAATTGTAGGAAATGTTCGCGTTTGGCATGATTTTAGTATTTGTATTTCGAGAGATAATACGACGATAATAATCATTTCAAGACGGAACGACTCGCGTGACTACCTTTTCGCTCGAATCTCGCCGTGCGAATGATAACAAGATGCATAACGTGCGCGTTGTTATGTTTATATAATTGTTTCTCTCTCTCTCTCACACTGATATTATTCTTATATTTACAGATATAATAATATTCTTGTATTTAGAATCTACGTGTGTACATTATTGTTACGTTTCTCTACAATATAAACATTTTCTCTCGCGTCTTATCAATTATTTTCGTTAGTCATGGAAGGGAATAAAATTTATCTTTAATATAGAATTATCGTTTAGGCACAAGAGGGTGACGAAGTCCTTTAATGAATTTAGAAAATATTTGCGGCACCCGCCGCGATAACATCTTGCCGCGTATCGCAATATTTTCATCTAGCTGTAAGTGGCTCAACAAGCATTGCGGAGAAACGGCGTGTCTGTTCCCTCGAGGCTCTTATCACTTGTCGATTATCTTGAAAATTAGGTTTCTTCAAACTCATTCGCGGCGCGCCCGAACGGGCTACCAAGATGTTACACCGTCCTCGACGTTTAATCAAAATTATCGATAAAATCTATTAAAGGTTTCTTCGCGCGAAACAAAGCGCGACTTTTCTTCGCTTAATTAAATTTTTCTTAGCCATGTCTCATCTCTTTAACTAATAGAGTGTTAATTAATTATTATATAAAATATCAGACACATATTTAGCATTAAATGTACAATATAAATTATATATACATATATATATATATATATATATATAAATAATTTCTCTGCAATATAAGAAAGATTGATGTAGATTTTATATAGCATAATGTTTAAAAAAAAAAAGATAAGTTATTGTAAGAAAAAGTTTTTACAAGTCTCGTTTAATTTTTAATAGTCTTAGAATTATATAATAAATAAAATTGATGCATAAAAAATACATAAATACATGTGACTATTAATAAATTATAAAATATTAAAAAATTATATGGTAAATACATGTATTTTAAATGACTTTGATAATCTACGAAACATTTGTATAGATTGTTTTTAATACGCAGAAATTTTTTCATTTGTAACAATATCGATATTAGCGTATTTTTCGAAGCATCCTACTACGTGAAACTCGTTTTCCGTATAAATATCTGCTCCGAAGCTTACTGTGCGTTCTTTTTCTCCGTGAATTCTTTCCGAAAGAATTTGATTTGTTCGTTCGCAGTGCGAGAAGGACGAAATCTTATTCCAATGGATCCGAACGGACTATCGGATCCTTACGTTAAGCTGAAGTTAATCCCGGACTCGGACAACGTAAAGAAGAAAACAAAGACAATCAAGTCGTGCTTAAATCCAGAATGGAATGAGACACTCATCTTGTAAGTCGTTTCGCTCGCTTGCTGAGTCAAGTTTACGTCGGACAATTAGATATTTATTCTTGAAGATTAAGATGTGTTTTTTTTTTTTAACGATAAATCGTTTCAAGATGTTTCCTTCCAATTGAGCTCCATGAATATTAAATAACTTAAAATAGTACACGTTTCCGCTTATTTATTTGATTAATTAGGTACCTACACAAATTGTAATTTCATCCGAAATGAATTTAACGCGCGCGATTCAATCTTCAATCTTTAAAATTTTACAAAACATCGAATTATGCAAAAGATTTTAAATATTTTTTCTTGCAACTTTACAAAATTTTAATTTTTTTTAAATGTTAATTTTTTTTTTTTACTAAAGTATTATAATGACATTTTGTTGATCAACATTATTTGATAAATCATATATTAACAAGTTAATTGATTTTTTAAATAAATCAGATCTTTCTCTATCTTCTCAAGCTCTCTATATTATGACATATCAAAGGATCGATCACTTAAGTAGGAAGAGAGTACATCTTGAAATTGAATTATAAGAGATTACAAGAATTGCTACCTTTGTGAGATAAAGCAGCGCTTAGCAATCTGGCTTTTACTATTAGCGACCTGAAACCCGAGGATAAAGATAGGCGGCTATTGATCGAGATATGGGATTGGGATCGAACGTCCAGAAACGATTTTATGGGATCCCTATCTTTTGGCATATCGGAGCTTATTAAAGCGCCCGCGAGTGGTTGGTTCAAGCTCCTCACTCAAGAGGAGGGTGAGTTCTACAATGTACCTGTTCCTGAGGAAGGCGTCGACCTCGCCGAGCTTAAAACCAAAATGCGGGTATTTATTTACTTGGCAATGTTGCAATTTATATTTAAAATATAAAAGCAGAAAAATAAATATTTATTATTTTAAGATTTAAAATGAATGAAAATTAATGAAGATTCTTGTTTTGAAATAATCTATTTAAAATTGTGAAATTATTTTTTCGACAAATATAACGAAGTGATTTTAAAATAATTCATTAATCGAAATATTACATACGCTTTCTATTTTGTATTTCGAATAATAGAATTGCTTAGTTTTATAATAGAATTGCTTAGTATCTATAGTATGTGATTTATACGCGGGTATATTTCACGGACTTTATTTAGAAAACTTCGGTAACGAAGAAGACACATGCGGCCCACGATAAGGATGTGCCGCACAATATGGGCAAGAGCGATCTGATACGAGCTAGCGACTTTAATTTCTTAATGGTACTCGGCAAAGGCAGCTTTGGCAAGGTGAGTTTTAACGATTTCGAGAGGTGGCTATAATTCGAATTCGACTACATCTCGACCTCGGAATCAATAATTAATTCAAGGTCTTGCTGGCGGAGAGAAAGGGAACCGACGAGCTGTATGCTATCAAAATCTTGAAGAAGGACATTATTATCCAGGACGATGATGTGGAATGCACGATGGTTGAGAAACGTGTACTCGCGCTCTCGAGTAAACCGCCCTTCCTCGTGCAATTGCATTCTTGCTTTCAGACAATGGTACGGATAGCACTTTTTTGCTAATCTAGATTACGTAAATTTTTTTACTTATTATAGATTATAAATTAAAAGATTAAATATAAGTTAACGGAAAATTAATTATTTCATTTAATTTATTTGTATATTATTTTATTTGCATATTGTACTGTAAATTTTAAGATAAGTATTAAAATATTTTGAATACATTAAAAATTTTTTCTCTCTAAAATAGAAAATTAAAAAAATTCTGTTGGAAGGCAAAATCTACTTCAAACGTGTAGAAAAGTATGTGACACTCTCGTTTATTCACTTTTCAAAATTTGATTCAAACGTTATCAAAATGGTATAATCTGCTTATTAAGTTTTCTATTAAATTTTCTCAAAGAGGGGAACGTTGAGTGAAAAGCACATAAGCTCTCTTATATGCGGGCGATGTGAAACACGAATGAAAGATTAACTGAAACACTTGCTTGCGGCTTACAAAGATCCGCTTTCTGCTTTCCACCTCAGGATCGTCTATACTTCGTAATGGAATACGTGAATGGCGGCGATCTGATGTACCAAATACAGCAGTGTGGCAAATTTAAAGAGCCGGTGGCAGTGTAAGTATTTTAACGTCCGTGAACGTGCTCCGCTTTAACTTGCGGATCGATATCCTTAACTCTATTAAAGCGCCGTGAGACGATGACGACGACGCGACAACTCTCGAGCGATTCACGTTGTCGAACTTTCTCAACGCATACGAAATGAATACGAAATGAATACGAAATGAAAACCGATTGTATCCGGGAGATGTGTCTCGTCAAGGCAGACGTGCTCGCGCGTCGTCTCGCTTCGTCGTCATCATCATTGTCATCGTGACCTTAAGTTTTGCTCATTAATCATAACTGTACCCGTCATAAAACCCCGATTATTTTACTTGTGTCCATGGCATGTTTCACCAAGTTTCACACAAATCTTATTCTCAAAGCTCCGCGATTGATCTCGACACGACGAGTATATCGCTCTTTCATCGATTTACGTGTCTCCCTCCACATTTGCAGATTCTATTCGGCTGAGATAGCGATCGGCCTGTTCTTCTTACACGCGCGCGGCATCGTCTACCGTGATCTCAAGCTCGATAACGTTCTGCTGGATCAGGACGGCCACATAAAGATCGCCGACTTTGGCATGTGCAAGGAAGGCATTACCGGCGATAAAACTACCAAGACCTTTTGCGGCACGCCCGATTACATAGCACCGGAGGTGAATGTTTGAACAAAACTTGTAATAACATTGTCTTGTGTGGTGTGAAATATTAGCGAATGACGGATATACATTATCACTTCTCTTCCAAAATAAATTTTTCTTTAACACAAGTATGGCGAGATATCATTATATATTTCTTACAATTTTGTTTTAATTTTAATTTTCCATATCTCGATAATATTATAAATCTCAAATTAAAATTTTGTTAAAGTCAACTTCACAAATTACAAGTAAAATATTACTCTCTTCATTGCTACTTTAGAAACTTCATTTTTGGTAATTAATCTTTTATTTTTGAAAATTATTAGCATCTCGTAATTTTTACTACGAAAAATCGATTCTGAATTTCGCAAGATAAATAATAGCGTATATTTTAGTCAATCCGGGAGGATATCAAATAAAATTGAGCTGAAATTTCGGGATTACTTTACCTGTCAGAATTACGTTGTTCTTTATCTCTACGCAGATTATCCTATACCAACCTTATGGCAAATCCGTGGATTGGTGGGCTTACGGTGTATTGCTCTACGAGATGCTAGTGGGCCAACCACCGTTCGATGGCGAGGACGAGGACGAACTTTTCTCCGCGATTACGGACCATAATGTCAGTTATCCGAAGAGTCTATCCAAAGAGGCCAAAGAAGTTTGTAAAGCGGTAAGCATGTCTTCTATATCCCAATATTACCTCGATAGCTTCCAGGAATTTGAATATGTTTAAACAGAATTTTAGACTTATTTAAACATGTTCTAAAGGGAATAATCTTCTTTAAACTAGCGTAAATTTTTGCATCTTTGATATTAAATAATTAAATAAAATTTCTACTTTTAGCTGAATATTTCATAAATTTATAAACGATTTCTGATGCGTGATATGACAGAGATGCCAGCTGAAATTTAATCTGTACGCAGAAATATGTATATAGATAACGTATCGATCTGTTATTAAAAAAGATACGAATGAATTTTGAAGGCCTATGAATTTTTAACTCGCATAAAATTTATTTGTATAGTTCCTCACAAAGAATCCGAGCAAGAGATTAGGATGCGGAATGCGCGGCGAGGATGACGTGCGGATCCATGCGTTTTTCCGGCGTATTGACTGGGAGAAAATAGAGAATCGCGAGGTGCAACCACCCTTCAAGCCAAAGATTGTAAATATTTGTCGCAGACAAACATTTTCGAATTTATTTAAAACAAAAATGCTTTTAACGATTGTTCTTTATTTGTATAGCAACATCGTAAAGACGTGAGTAATTTCGACAAGCAGTTCACCTCAGAAAAAACGGATCTGACTCCCACGGATAAGCTGTTCATGATGAACTTGGATCAGACGGAATTTATGGGTTTCTCGTATCTCAATCCAGAGTTTGTGCAACACGTTTAAGCGAAATACTTTATCTCAGGCTCGTACCTATCTTTCACTTCATTCCTCGTCGTTCATCTTTCTCTTTGTCACTCAGGGCTCTCTCATCCCTCTCTCTCTTGCTCTCTATCCGTTTTCTCTCTCTCTCTCTCTTTCTCTCGCTCTCTGAATCTCGCTGTAGCATTTTCGTGATAAAACGAGCGAGAATTTGGTGCGCTATCGTTTTTGAATTTCATTAAGAATTCACGCGAGATTCACTGATGTATTTTTAAGCAGTCGCGCGATAGTCGATTGTATATCACTACGCTGTAAGAAAGATAAAACAAGAGAAAGAAATACGGCGTAGGTGCTGAAGATTCGATCCAAATAATTATCGCGAGAAAAAAAACGAACGAACGGAGAAATAGCACGCAAAGAAGAAACAGCACGGTAAGAAGGAAATTTCAAAATCGATGTCTTCGTTTTCTGCGTATATTATTATGCATTTACTTCAGTAGTCTCTCTACTGTCGCCTTCCAGAGTATATATATAATATATATGTAATTATATATACATATACATAATATATATATACATAAAGTCATTACGATATATATTACATACATATATATACATAAATAATATATATTATACATTATAAATTTCTATCGATATTTCGTTAACGTTGCACTTCTCGTCGGTTTAATCTTCTTAAGTAGCGGATCTTTAGAAAGTTGGGTCCTTAGATTCTCCGGACTCACGACGGGTTAAGAATTTATTAGTGCTACGTTGAGATCGATTCTCATATTGACACATACATGCACACATACACGCACATACACACACACACACACACACACAGATACATACGCACACATACATGTATACATATAGGACTACACTCACACGTAAACATTCACACGAACACAAGTGACATATGTACGATATTTTTTCCTTTCTCCCTTGTTCGTTGCGGAAGCACGAGTCTGAAGTGTCTTTTCTAGTTTTTCTCCGTCGTTCTTCGATAGGAACGCGGATACGACTACAGGAACCATGCTCGATAAACTCTCGTATGTATACCTTATATCAGTAAGTAATGACACAGAAAGCGATTTTGATGTGAGCCGGGGATGCGCTGAGTCGATCGCGGCCTGTTAATAATAAGTGAAGAGCTCATCGCGTCGAATAATACAGAGGACGAGATCAACACAAAAGTCTCGCATTTATGCGGGAGGGAGAGGAGGGGGGGGGGGGGGGGGGATATAGTCGACAATATAAACACCGGCGTATGCGCCAACGTGTAAAGTTTTATGTATTCTTCGTTGATGTAATAATACGCCGTGGCGATATTATTCGACACGATAATATTTTACATGCGGGATGCGCGAGAATATACAATTAACTCTCTGCGAACACAGTCTCTCTGCGATTACGTAAAATTTTTTATCGCACCGTTATACGCGGATTCTCTGATTTTACGTGTGATATATATTATTATAGATACGACGCGAAGAATTTATTCTCGTGTGGTACAATTATATAAGGAAATAAAGATTTTATATTAAAATAATGATAAGCATATTTATCGCTTATGAATACGTTTATCATTATTATGAATAATGTTTCCCATGCGAGCGAAGGATTATTGATTTTGCATTGTCTTGACAATCGAAAGGATCAAGAACAGGGTCTTGGTCCACTTAGCGCTTTCCTCGCGCATCTTTGTAATTACATCGGTGCGCTCGCTTTTCTCGCCGAGTCTCTTCGATTTGTCTCGTCGAGAAGGGCACAATTATCGGAGGGAGCTTAGTGAAACTTAGTACAAGCGAGTACATAAACAAAAAGTAAGGCATACTTATGCAACGTTTTTCTCCTCTGTTTCTTCAATGATTGCGGCACGCGCGTGCGATCAATAGCGTTGTTAATAATTATAATTGATTAATGCGCATATATAATTATATTGTAGACGTAGTTGATGAGCTCACAACGCGAGCTTTCTCTTCGTTTTTGTACATCCGGTATTGGCAAATCGACAAGCGACTATTCTTCGAATTTATTTGTACGATGCAGCTACAATTGCTGTAATTACGGCGAAATATAAGATTGCCAAAGCGGAAAAATAATGACAGAGATTTTTTTGCGCTTCGAAGATCAAATCGTTGCAAGAGAATAATTGCAATTGCTCGTCGAGTTGCCGCATAAAATACAAAATTCTCAAGGATGAGCTCGTATCCTTTTTCCCATCTCGTCTCTGTCTTTTTACGTATAAGCGATGAATCTTCAGAATTTAATCGCGTATTGATTAAATAATTCACAATTTAATTACGGTAGGATTCAAACTCCCTGTACGATATTCTCGATACAAGAAGGAATCGTGAAATTGCGCTCAACGAATAATGAGATTTTTTTGTATAAATGTTATGTACTGGATATCTTAAATTAAAAAATATGTTACATTTTTTTCGTTGCTGTGTAAAGATACGCTTTTACGGGCACCGCCATGGTAAAAGGATACGAATTCGCGTTTCTTTCAATTCTGAGAGTATCAGTTATTTTATTGAGCGTGTTCCGATAATATAAAAGATTTAATATAACTCTCTCGCCCTTTTTCTCAACGGGGTGATTCTTGTTCTTCGATCGGGCGTCTTCGCGCAGTCTCATCGCGAAACCATGTTCTCTTTTTAACGTCGGGCTGTCTGATACAATTTCGAGGAATCGTAACTCGCAAATTTATCAATTGAACCAGCAGAATTTTGTTCTTTCGTGTATAGCGTATATACGTTGTTAATTATAATTTATATATATTGTCTCATATTATACATATGTATAAGTCGATGTGGTAGTTGACCTACCTAGCTCTCTGCATATCTTGTGTTCTCCGCATTCATTCGTTCGTATCTTCGGATATTACGATTATACAATATATTTTTTGCTTATCTACGATATTATGGCAACTTTAAGTAATATAATAAAAAAAATTATTGCGCCTGTTAAAATAAAATGATCATTCCACGCTTGCAGTCACGAAAATCTGATGCCTTTTTTGTGAAAGACGGTACGACGATAACATTCGTTGTTAAAGCGAACCTCGAACATCCTTGCAGGAGGCTGCGCGATCTACGTCCGAAATCTATTTTTGTACTAAAAAAAGATGAAATTCAAGAAAGGGAGGCTATATCGCTTCTCTTCTTTTCCTATGTGCATCTATCTAGTAGATATCTTGTTGTCACATTTGTGGCACTTCTTGTAGCTTTCTAGTCTGTACATTGGTACAGGCGTTGTAAGAAAGCACCATTAAGGGTAGCTAATAAGTCACAATCGCTGATGCATCTATTTAGAAGAAAGAGAAGATGCGTGTAGGCTGCAAACTTTGACAAGAACAAAAATACAATTTCGCGACAAGGCATTTTTTTTTATTTTTATCAACTGTGGACTTATCTATAAAACTAAGTTATAAAAAATTTAATTCTAAACAGTACTTTATTTTAATATAAAATCTTTATTTGAGATATCTATCTTTCTCTCTCTTCTTTCTATTTTGTTTACTTTTTCTTTTCTTATAAAATTGTCGTTTTATTCAAGAGTGCAGACGCTGTTTTTTTTTTTCGAAAAATAAGCGTGCAGCTAGTTTCATAATACATACGAGCACAGCATGTTTTTATTTTTATAAATAAAAATTCTTTTGTACTGTTTAGAATTGAATATAGAGAAGATGCATTGGGTTTACGTGAAAGACCGACACTCTCATTCTTGGCAATCCACTCTTGCTTCTGTGTAACTGATCAGCAGCAAGGATTGATTTGATGATAAATACTTGAAAAGTGGCAAAGTCTTTAATGACGAATGTCGAATAAGTGATAGTGATTTTATAACAATGGTGCTGGGTTTTTTTTTTCTTAATAGAGACGTAGCGTATCAGCTTCCATGGCAGCTGCGTCTCTATTGTCGATCTCTCTGTCTATCTCTCTT